CATGGATGTGAAGACTAATTGATCAAGATTAAACAATCGCAAAGTGATCATGGGCATTCAAGAAAAGCATGATGAGAAAAAGATTTAGCGTTGACATGATTAACTTTGGGAGAGTTTTTGAGGGAGAGAATCTGAAATTAGAGATTTGCATATGCTGCTGTTGCATGAACATGGTTTGTATTTGAAAGGCTGAGGGTTCAAAATATTAAACTGAATTGGGTAAGTAACAACCAAATTAAGCACGCTATTCTAGAAAAGGTAACCAAATTTGCGAGTGAAAAATTAGGTCTTCAATTTAGGAAACTTAATTAGGTGTCACTGACTCAAACTAAATAACACATTTTGTTTCTTATGGGGGTTGAATCGAACATATGGGATAGCTGGCTAACACCAGAGATATGATGTAAGTTAAAACATTCATCTATTAGTCTTGACTAGAAGTTTCCAAATATAAAATAAATGATCGGATAAAAATGATAAATTCTTTTTTTAAAAGAGGACAATTGGTGGCAAGCCACGATTATCTACCATTTCTGAGCCCGGAGAGGCTATGGGGAATTTCACCCTGCGTGTAGCTACAGTCAATCAGACTCACCAGCTTGGAGCATCTAACTCGAGACCTCCCCATATTTTGTGCTAATTATAGAAGAAAACTTGTGGATGTCATGTGTCAGATGCTGTTCATATGTATAGCTGGGTTACATAAGAAAACAGAAGTGAAAAATCACGTTTGGAGATTGCTAACAGAAGATGTTTGTTTCACTTTCGTTGACAAGGGATCCCAAGCATCTGCATTTAGTTAACAAGAGTGTTCGATTTTAGTTGAGTAAATTTGTAATATAAAAATAAGACACGTTACAGTGATAACTTTCATCCTCCACAAAGGTATATCCTTAAAAGTTAAAATTAGGGATTATATAGCTTCTGAAATTCCGCTCACGTAACTACCTTTATGAGGAGCTCAATACACAGACAAGATTTATATAAGCAAAACACATTAACTGGCAAATCTATTAAACAACAATTAAATTGTCGAAGTGTCTAAATTGTTCTTTCCATTCCCTAGTTAATCAGCTGGGGTTTGCTTGGAAGATGTTTTAGGGAATGGACAAAATAAGACGGAATTTAATACGCAGGAAACAACTGTGCCCATTGATCAATAATACAATAATTAAAAAATTAATGTACGTGGTGGATTACCCTCGTGGTTAGGACATTCCTGTTTATGGCGTCCCGAAAATAATAGTGACTGTAGATTAATAATACAAGAATAAAGTTAGAGTAGTGCTACACTTAACATCTACTTGTACCATCATTTGTATCATCTCTCTAATAGAGATAGGGTCCGCCAACGTATGTGAATCTCATCTCTATTAGAGAAATGATATAACTAAATGATAAGAATAACATTCTTGATAAAGTTAAGGGAGTTTTAACGAAAAGCCCACGGTACTGTTCACTTTAACGAAAAACCATATTTTTACACTAAAAAGTCAAACCTGGTACTATTCACTTTACCCTTTATTTTGTCCTTATCATTAAAACTCAAAGTTTTCAAGCCCTTTTCATTAGTTTTCCATAAAGTTAACTTCTTTTTTCCTTATTATTAAAAATTTAATATGTAGAAAAAATATTACTTGCGCCATGTAAGTAAGTACAACATTGATAAAAGTTTTGGAGCTTTATACGGATTAATTAGTTACGTAATAATGGAAGTAAGCATCATAGATGACGCTTTACCATAGTGGCAGAAAGGGATTCGTTCCCCACCGATCCCTTCCCTTTCTAACATTTAACAATGATCCCCTCACTTTCTAATATTTACTAATTTAACTTACTAACGCTATCATTTGTCCAAAAAAAAAAAAATAGAAGCAAGCATCTTACGGTGCAAAAATTCATATAAATCAGTACTCTACTCTTTTGTTACAGACTTATAGTCTCTCTCCCACGGCATCATCAGCAATCTTTAGGCCTTTCAATTTCTCTCAACACCTCACTTAATTGCTTTCTCATGGGATTTTTTGTGTGGCTCTGTAAACTGTAAGCTGTTTCTCAGTTCACGGTTGATCAGGAGATCGATCGGAGACCTCATCGAACTCATAGTCCTTTACTTTTTTGTATTCTTTGTAAATCTTATACGGTTAACCCTAAACCTAAAACAAGTCCTATATGGATTATTCTGTATCTTTAGTCTTTATAAATACCAACGCGAAGAGAGTTTATACAATTTCATAAGTTATATTTTCAGAGCTAATGGAGTGTATACCATTAGCTAGGTCGAGGGGATCATTAACAGAATAATTAAAGGCATTGTTAATCAAATTTAATCCAACTTTCCCCCCATAATGACAAAGGGGTTTAACAGATTGTTTACCTTTCCGACTAAACGTACCGATACGTGCTCCTCACCATCGCTGGAGTCTGGTACAGTTCCAGAAGCAGTTACCTTCTCATAACCAAGTTCCGTACTTCACAAGAAACCTTTAATTTTTAATTGACGAAATATTATCAAGGGGTATTTGAACATTAGTCCTTGCAAAAGATTAAAATTAAAAAAAAACCTGGTGCTAGATTAAATATTCAATTTAATCCCTTGAATGTACTTTTATCAAAATTTACATTCAATTTTTGTTATTTAATGTTTATTTTTATTTAATCTCTCCATATTAAATTTTAATTTTATTAATATGCTCATATTTAGTTTTTTTAATTAGAAATGAATGTAAATGAGAAAATATTAAAAGAAATTTGTGATACAAAAATATATAAATACATAAGTGTACAGAAATGATTGTGCCAAAATATATAAAATTGACTTTTTTGTACTGAAATATTTGTACCGACATGATTGTACCGAAATATATTATAATGAACCTAAATGTATGTACCGAAATGTATTATATTGAATTAATGTACCTAAATGTTAATACTGAAATGTATGTACCAAAATGTACGTACCTAAATGTCAATACCAAAAATATATGTACCTAAATATTAGTACCAAAATGTATGTACCTAAATGTATTTACCGAAATATAATAATTGAATTAATGTACCTAAAAGTCAATACTCAAATATGTGTACCAAAGTGTATGTAACGAAATACATTATAATGACCAAAATGCATTATATTGAATCAATGTAACTACATGTTTGTACCAATGGATATACCAAAATATTCAAATGTATTAATGTACCTAAATGAAGAACATACAAAATTGTTATCGGAATATATATTATAAAAAAAATTAGTTGCCTAAATGTAGACATTAAAATATATTATGATGAATGAAATAAAAATTAAATTTAAATGTAACTAATACATTAAAATAAAAATAAAAAGATAAAATAAAACATCAAAATACAACTAATAAATGATATGATTAAATGTGCTAGGGACTAAAATTGGATTTTAATCTTACATATGGTTATAATCTAAAACTCATCTTTTTTAAGGATTAAAATGAAGTTTTCTATATTATCAACATGCAGAACATATAGAAAAACAGGAATATTTGTATCTTTGACAACAATATTTTCTCCCCAACAGTAGTTTTTGAGCTGATGACTTATTTTTGTTATATGTGAGGGTAATGCTAGATAGACCAATTTTTTAGACTAAATTTGTAAACCATATGATGTGACATCAATAAAAAATAAATATATTTATCAACACTAATGATCCAATCATAAACAGCCACGTAATATGATTCAAAATATAATTTAAATAGATGATCTTCCTGACATTATCCTTACCCTATATGCAAGCTCTAGCTATCAAGAAAAACACTTTTTTCTTGCATGTCAAATAATTTTAGAATTGTTACCCAAAAAAAAAAAGAAATTAGAACAAGGACGGTTGCTTTTTTTCTTTGGGGTTTTTGAACTTTAATCCTTCAAGAAAATTAAAATTTAATAAAAATCTGGTGTTAGATTGGATATTGATTTTAGTCCCTTAATGTGTACTTAATTCAAATTTATATTATATTTTTGTTTTAATATTTAATACATATCTTATTTAATGTCATTACATTAAATTTTAAATTTATTATATACGCATTTTAATTCATTAATTTTATTTAACTTCCTCTAATTAGTGTACCTAAACATCCGTATCATAATATATTTTACTAATTTAGTGTACCGATATGTCCGTACCTAAATATATTGTAGTAAATTAGTGGCACATAAGAAAATATGCAAAAATACAAGTGTACCGAAAATTCCGTACCTAACTATATGATACTAAACTAGTGTACCGAAATGTTGATACCTAAATATATTATACTAAACTAGTGTACCTAAATGTCCGTACCTAAACATATTATATTAACCCAGTGTACCGAAATGTTGATACCTAAATATATTGTAATGAATTAATGGCACATAAGAAAATATGCAAAAACATAAGTGTACCGAAAAATCGCTACGAAAATATTTTCCTGTATAAGATACTCACCATAATGAGAATTAAAATTTATAATATTTTCATATTATGAACACCATAAAATTATAAATAAAAAAGACAGACATTGAATACATATGCTGGCATTTAATAGAGTCTAGTAACTAAAATCAATTTTTAACCTTGTATAAGACATTTTTCTAAACTTCATCTTATTTAGGGATTAAAATCTAGTTTTCTATTTTCCTTTTTCTTTTGGAAATTTACTGTTTAACACTGCTCATTATGCTTAGTGATGAATATTATCTTAACTTGAAAATATAACATTAAATATAAATTCAAAAGTGAAATTAGGGAGAGACTATCATCCATTTTATCAAAAGGTCCTTTTCACGTGGGAATCAAATAGCATTCATGGAAGAAACGACCTAGTTTGTGGCACAGATTCATCTAAGCTGACCTCTCCATTCCACCAATATTTTTCTTTTCAATTTTTTTTGTAAAATTTGTTTGATAATAACAAGTATAAAGTAAGTTTGAAAATGGCTACCTAATTAATTTCCCCCATTACTGTTCCTTTCTCTATTTCTGCAGCTATATATATCGAACTCTTTCGACGAACTCTTCTCATAATTTCTTCTTGGTTACAACTAGCTACTTCTTTTCTCCAACTCCATTAATTAACTTTGAAGTAAGTTCTTGCAAGAGTTTATTCTTTCCTTGCAAGTTAAATATATATAGATATATAGTAAAAAATTAGATACAAAATTTATGTATATACACTCTATATATAGATATATGTAAAAAATTAGTCTAACTCTTCGCTCTCCAGCTACAATCAAATGTTTCAATAGTTTCACCACGTTAATTAGTTTATTTTTCCTCGATCGTTCTAGCTATACCGTTTTCCACTTTCATTTCATTTGTCCTGCACCAGTAAATAGAGTATGTTTAAAACATGAGAAGACTGAGTACTTTTCATACATATGATATGATACATATTTATACATATGTACACTATAGTTGGTCATTGTTAATTCTTCATGATCTCATATATATTCATTACTGTTTTGCAGAATAAGCCTTCAATGGCCACTGTGGATTCAATCAACTTCACTAATAATGAGGCTGCGCTAAAGGTTAGTAGTCTACTGTATCAAGAGGAAAATAATATTGTTTAAAAAATAAGTGGCACTAATTATCAAGAGGAATTAATCAATGGGACCAGAAAATATAAATAGTCTGTATAGCTTAGTCCAAACTTTACATGCCCCACTTCTAAGTTCTAATCAATTGGCCACTAATTACTGAGTAGAGGGTTTCCTACATGCTCTTGATGGTGTAGCAAAGACTTACATGATGGGTACACTGCCACTGTGGCTTCCTATTCCAATGATTGAACGACATGTGTAAGTTCTTTTTTCTTCACATGGTTTGTATCATTGGCACGAGACGCCACAATAGCAGTGTATTGTTATGTAGGTTGCTCTCGATGGTGCAGGGCTTACAATTGTTGTCCTTTTTATTTTATATCTTTTACTGGCATCAGTTTCTCATAATTTTTTCAACTTGTGACTTCTTTTTCATCCCTTAAAAAACTAGCAGCAGGTGAGAGAAAACAATAGAGGGACTGGAGTACCAGAAGCTGTGAAAATAAACTTCAATGAAATTGAACATGTGGCAACTTCCAAAAGTAAGGCATCCCTTATAAGAAAGAGCACAGGAGGGTGGAAATTTGCAAGCCTCTTACTAGGTTTGAAGATAATCGATCACTTTTTATTTCCATTAACACATATATAGAGTTAATAATCAAATCTGTTTCTTATTGGTCTTATTTTGTGCAGCGAATCAAGCCCTAGCAACACTAGCTTTTTTTGGTGTTGGAGTGAACTTGGTTTTGTTTTTAACCAGAGTTCTTGATCAGGAGAATGCCGATGCAGCCAACAGTGTTAGCAAGTGGACTGGAACTGTTTATTTGTGCTCCCTAGTAGGTGCCTTTCTCAGTGACTCCTATTGGGGTCGTTACTTAACATGCACCATCTTCCAGCTCATCTTTGTACTGGTAATGATAATTTTCTTTTATTCTCGAGTATAGTAGTGCGGTTGTGTGCACTTTTTGATACTCCGACCCTTATAAGTTATAATAAGGTTGATATTGTCAATACCTTGACCCTTATAGTTGTATATATGGTTGCTAATAATATATGTCATCAATAAACATTACTGCACCTGAAAATTGCAGTAAACCTTAACTAAGAAGGTTCTATGTGTGCGTGTGTTTTTTTTTTCATAATTTATAAACATGTGGTTAAGCTGAATGAAATTTTATGTGACTAAAATATCAGGGCTTGGCCTTATTATCTTTGTCATCTTGGCTCTTCTTGTTCCATCCTTCTGGTTGCGGCGATGGAGAAACCATGTGCATGCCAGAATCCTCAGTCGGCGTCGCGATATTTTACTTGTCCATATACTTGGTTGCATTTGGATATGGTGGGTACCAACCTACTATAGCAACCTTTGGATCAGACCAGTTTGATGAGGCAAATCCTAAAGAGAGAGCTTCAAAAGCAGTTTTCTTTTGCTATTTTTACTTTGCACTCAATGTTGGGTCTCTTTTCTCAAACACCATATTGGTCTATTATGAGGATACTGGCAAATGGACTCTAGGGTTTGTGGTGTCACTGGGATCTGCTGTCATAGCCCTACTGTCCTTTTTGTTAGGTACACCAAGGTATAGGTACATAATACCATGTGGCAACCCTTTGCCGCGTATCGCTCAGGTATTCGTTGCTGCAGCTCGAAAATGGAATATTGTTCCAGCTAACTCAGGTGACCTGTATGAGGTGGAAGGACCAGAATCTGCAATCAAAGGGAGTCGAAAGATTTATCACAGTGATGAAATTGAGTAAGTATCAAACCTTTATCTCTACAAATTATATATATAAACTTCTAATAAAAACCATAACTGGGGAGACGCTACACAAATAATTAAGGGGCACCAACCCATTTTTCATATGCACCATATTGTCGATTTAGTGTGCCCCCAGTTCTCTTTTGATTAAAATTTGTAACAATTTATATTTGGGAACTTTAAAGAAAAGCCTCCGATACTGTTAACTTTAACGAAAAACCATATTTTTACACTAAATTTATATTTGTGCATATTTCCCTAATAATATATACATATAGTCCACAAGTAGAGCTATGGGCAATTGGTGATTTAGAGAACTGAATGATATTGTCAGGTTTTTGGACAAGGCAGCAACAATAACAGAAGATGATCTTTCTGGCCCCAAGAATCCATGGAGGCTTTGTACTGTGACTCAAGTTGAAGAAGCCAAATGCGTACTTAAAATGTTACCCATTTGGCTTTGCACTATAATCTACTCGGTGGTCTTCACACAAATGGCCTCCCTCTTTGTAGAGCAAGGGGACGTGATGAAATCCAACTTTGGAGATTTTCACCTCCCCGCCGCTAGCATGTCTGCTTTTGACATATGTAGTGTTCTCATTTGCACCGGAATTTATCGCCAACTTCTAGTGCCGCTTGCTGGAAAAATAAGTGGAAACCCAAAAGGTTTATCTGAGCTAAAAAGAATGGGGATAGGTCTAATTATTGGAATGTTATCGATGATTGCAGCCGGTGTCACAGAGATTGCAAGGCTCAAACATGTGCAGCCTCATGAGAAGATAAGCACTCTGAGCATATTTTGGCAAATTCCACAGTACGTTCTTGTTGGTGCTTCAGAAGTTTTTATGTATGTTGGTCAACTGGAGTTCTTCAATGGTCAAGCCCCAGATGGGATAAAAAGCTTTGGAAGTTCACTGTGCATGGCTTCAATATCTCTTGGGAATTATGTGAGTAGCATGCTGGTTTACATGGTGATGGGGATCACAGCTAAAGGCAAAAGCCCTGGTTGGATCCCAGATGATCTGAATACAGGTCGCATGGACAGGTTTTACTTCCTAATTGCTGCCCTAACGGCTTTTGATTTTGTAATTTATGTGTTTTGTGCTAAGTGGTACAAAGGCATTGAGGTCACTAAAAAGGAAATTCAGATCATGGAAAATCAAGAAGATGTGGGGATCGGAAGAGTTTAGACCTTAATGAGCAAGCCGATGAGATGAATTTGGCATAAGTTCTTAGAATAAGCTTATATATAGCAGAAGATCAGAAAGCATGACCTCTGTTAGCCTCCAATAGATTCGGAATGAGGGATGATGGCTTTCCCAACTTGGTTTTAATCTTGTTTAATTAAGTTGGCAGTTTTGGTTTGCAATATTGTAAGTTTGGAATATATATTTTGGAATAAACTGTCATGTAAATGCTTTTGAATTTCGACTCTTGAATGATTGCAGCTTTGGATCCTCTTCCTCTTGTAGCATATGGAAAATGATTGACCATTGATCCATAAAAATTATTCTTCATAACGAAAAATTCTTAGGTGTTCATGAGTCATGACTAGTCGCATACAAAGATTGTCATACAATTATAAAAATCGGTGACATATATTTTTTCCTTCATAACTAGTAAAGTAACTAAACCAGAAATCTTAATACAAAATAGTAATTTAACCTTTATTTTTGTCAACAGAAGTAATTTAACCTTGAGGAGTCTACAGTTGCTTTATTAAGTGGGCGCTATATGCACTATGGAAATTACCAAACCTCAAATGTGAATAAGACCTCAACTCATAGCTAGATAGAGTCACATCCTGTCTTACCAAAAGTTGAGCTTTCATGGGTTGGAATCAACCACACTTGGAACCTGAAAAACCCACAAAAAAAACAGACATTTGATATTGCTGCCTTCTCCCATATTTGTCTGTGTTTTCACATCAAGTGTGTGAAGCAGTGGGAACTATTCAACTGTACATTTTTTTAAAAGGATGATAATGGTTTAGGCGAGTCAAATTACACATTAAACTTGATTGGTGGTCTAGCCATACTTTCTAAATCTGCACATAAGGCTTTGTTGTCAGTCTACAATAGTAGGTTTACAAAGATGATGATGTACGGAATTTACAGAATGAAAGGGTATTTTCGTATTTTCACTTTGGTTGGGTTTTATTTGTTTAAAATATTGCTTTTAGGTGTTAAATGGTGTGCCCAAGGGGCCCACCCCTGATTTTGGTCCCCCGACTCTCCCCTCTCTTTGCAAGCCACATGGCATCCATCTCCTTCACTTTCCTCCCTTCCTCTCTCTCACCTCCCCCGAGCTCTCTCTCTCTCGCAGACCCCTCATTCTCACTCTTCTCTCTTCCCCGAGGACCAACCCATAGACGCACCCACACACCCATACTTGCAAATGAACGACAGTGCCGCCACCATCACCATCATGACGGACCATTTTCTCTCTCTTCACAGTTGCACTACCATTTAGAATTCTCTTAATCGAGTTTAGAGTCGTGTTCGAGACGTTTAGAGGAGTTTTTGTGGATTGTGGACGCAGTTGCAGCGCTGTGGAGAATTGCCTAGATTCCGATGAAGAACCCCCCAGATTCCATTTTCCGGCAAGACTCGACCACGGCTGAGGAAACCAATGGTACTACTTGAATCCTTGTTCTTCGACCTTCATTTTGATATATTGAGTGGTTAGTTTTAATTAAGTTTTAACGATGATCGGAGCTTGAGAAGCTCTAGGTTTCTCTTTCGTGGTTTCCAACAACCGTAACTGAAAATCGGCCCAACTCAGTTGTTGGGCCAATGATCAGCAACCCAAACCTAAATATGAATTTAGGCCCAAAACCCTTTTAACTCAGGCCAAACCCGTGTCCCTTTAACCCTAAACCCAACATAGATCTAAACCTGGGCCCAAGCCCATTGGCCTAGCCCAACCTTTTTACCCCAGAACCCTTTTGACCTAGACCTTGGGCCGTGCAAAACTAAGGCCTTAGTTTGCCGCCGAAGAGCCACACAACCTAGCGAAGACGGCAACGCCACAATAATTGGATGACTATATACTATGAAGATGGCTTCGGGCCGAGGGAGATATATGTAGATGGCTTTGGGCCGAGAGATATATGCACTGGCTTCGGGCCGAGAAATATAGTGTCTACAGGCAATTTGATACCACTACTTAGCACACTATATATGTTGTATGTTTTATGAAGGTTTTATGGCATGCTAGTGATTTTCACAGTGTGTGACATAACCTATTACATATTTATGCTATTGCTTCTCACATGTGTGTTTCACCATAAAACATTTTAGGGGTTCTTAGTATGTTGAATACGCCCATCATTTTCTTGTTTCACCCTGTATTATGTTATATATAACTTGGTCCACTCATGTTTGTTTTGCGTCAGGACTGGGTGGACAGAGATCAGGGGTGGAGGCGTATAGATCTGCGGTGGATGGCGTCGGCAGAAAGGTTTTGAAGAGGAAGGAGAAGGTGAGCTCACGGGAGTGAGCTGGAAAAGAGAGAGAGAGAGAGAAAGAAAGGATCGGAGAGGGAAAGGAAGAAAGAAGAAAAAATAAAAAATAAAATAAATGATAAAATATTAATTGATATGAATAAAATAATATAATATTAGATAGACTGGGTGCCAGCGTATTTTTAGGGGTGGAGATGCTTTGGCCTATTACTGTTTACTGGGGTCTATTACTGTTTAATTGAGTGGATAAATGCGCTGGGTGCTGGCACAAAGTCCTTAGGGGTGGACTTGCTCTCAGAGATAAAAATAATTTTAGCTAGAAATTCGAGAAACTAATAAGAATAGTAAGTCATTGATAAGTTTAGGAACATATATATTATGTTAGCTACGATAGATGGGACGGAGCTATAAAGGGACTAGAATGGTTCCAGGCTTACCTTGATATTTTTTTCACAGAGAAATCTTAAAGTTATTATTTTGTTTTTCAAAGATTTTTTAAGGGATTAGAGCCACAACAAGAGGGAGAGAGAGGAAGTAGGTGAGATAGTTGGGTTCTCCTAGAGTTTAATCTTTTTTCACATGGTACTGTTGGTTGTTGACAAGCTTGAATTATGCTTTCATCCATGTGCTATTTCTCTTACTAGCCTTTCTATTAGGTCGTTTTTTCGCCAATTAACACGGCGCCCAACTGATCGGAACGTACTAATGAAATGGAGCGAAATTAAAAAATCAACACCATTGTCACCGAACAAACAAACATCATAATTGGACCAAAAATCTAGAGCGGCAAAATAGTGATTGAGACGATCACCAAACAATGAATGAGACGATAACCAAACGATGGATGAGAGATGGATTCGTGAGCATGAGAGAGGGATTGAGCGTGTTGCAATGTTTTTTAATTTTTAATTTTTATTTTTTAATATTTGTGAGAGGCCCCTTCTAACCTGATTTCCTGGCTCCGCCACTAAGATGACTGATCCTAAGAATTCACTTTAAGATTATCCTCGAAGTTTGTCATTCCGTTCGAGTTCTTCCAATTGTCTGAAGATTGTCGAACTAAAAATGGGTCGAAAGAGCCAACAATACTTCCCACCGAAAACAAGTAATAAAATTGTCATTTTAATGTTGCATTGGACGCAATGGGCAGTCGGATCAACTTTTGCATGGAAACGACTTTCCTACAACATGTTGCATGCAAAATCACGTGGGAAGAGAAAAAGAGAGGGAATTTGTCTCTGTCTTCATGTTATCGGCCCATCCCGCCACTTATGACTACATATTAGTGATATTCATCTTCATTGGTAAGTGATAAGTCTTAAGTTCGATTTTTGTCAAAAGCAAATTCGAACCACATTATTGCTAGCTCATTATGCGGCTTAGCCACCCCCTCTCCCTTAGAGCACTTCCATCCCTTTCAAATCTCCTAGGGGATAGTAGAGTAAATCCCCTCCCTTCCCCTAAAACTCCTCCACCCCATTCCAATCCGTTGGGATCGGGGGAGCCTAGTTGCCCACCTAGGCTAAATTCAACTAGCCTAGCCCTTAGGTCATGTGACGCAAGGCTGACGTAAGCTACAAGTAAAAAATTAATAAAAATTAATTAAGAATATAAAAAATTATAAAAATGATATAAAAATAATAAATACATTTTTTGTTTTGTAAATATCTAACTATGTTCTTTTACCTTACACCACATTTCTATATTTTCAAATACTTTTAACCAAACTTTTACTATCATCCGAAATTAAAAATAAAAATATATTTTATTTTTTATAAAAAAAATAATAATATTTTAATACAAACTGCTTAGACTATTCAGTTTAAGGGTGGAGATGCACTTGAACAGTTACTATTCATTTGGGGGAATTGACTTGTCTATTGCCCGGAAGACTTTTTTAAAGTGAAAATGCTCTTAAGGTAAATAATATCGTTTGTTAAAAGTAAGGGCAAAAGACTGTTTACTACCCTCATGTTTCGTAGTTTTCAACATTTAGTACATCAAGTTTTTTTTGTCCCAAAGTCATACCTAAAGTGTAAATTTTGAGACAGTCTCATACATCCGTTAGTCAAACTGTTAAATCTCCCGTTAACTGTGACGTGGCACCCATATGGATAATGACTGGGCGCCACATGTCATTAAGGGTTCACGTGGAAATTAAAAATTAAAAAAAAAAACTCAAAATTTCAAAATTCAAAACCACCTTCCATTCCTCCTCTGCAACATCAATTCTTCTTCCAATCCGCCAACCCCACCACCACCATGTCCCAAAAATCCAAATCACGATGCAAAACCGCAAAACTCGAACAAAGCCCAGCACCTCCAATCCAAAACCCGACCCCACCAGAGTTCCAATTCGCCATAGCCAAAGCCTAGCACCTATAATCCAAAACCTGACCCCTCGAAACCCTAACCCACATCGCCGTCAAGTACATCGGCACCGTAGCCTTCACCTTGGCCTCCTACGCCGCCATGGCCAAGCACACCAACATGAATGTTTTCGACTTCGCCAACGCCCTTCCCTTCGTCTTTCCCCCACCCTCTCTAAATTTACCATTTCTCCTGTCCTCCATGGAACGCTCTCAGACGTGAATCGTCACTACCAGAAGAAGGTTGAAGCGGAAGCTCGAAGAAGACTTCAGAGATGAAATGATCGAGGGCGCATCGGACCGGAAAGTCCCAGCCGTTGTCGAACCGCAAGACGATCGCCCAGATCTCGTCGGCGGGTTCGCGAGCAGGTCCGGATTCTAGAGTCCATATTCTCATCCGCGCAACCCGACCACCCATGGCTTCGCTCTCATTGCCAAAAAAGGTAGCATGCTCGTTGTTGTCTTTTATTTTGGCCGGTGTTCTTGGAGTTAACTGTTTGTTCATCTTTAATCTGAGAAAATCTTGTGAGATTGTTTGGGGCTTTGGGGGTTTTTTTGGTAATTTGTATGCAGATGAGCTTGTGGACATTGTG